GAAAAGTGCAACAGTGAATGAATGGAAATCCAAAATATCTGTAAATGTTCATTAAGATTAATAAAATAAAATTTAAAAAATTTTTAAAAAAGAAAATACCATGTCTTGAGACAAGCACAACTTAGTATTTAAACTGGCATCCTTTAAAGAGGTCTTCGGAAGCAGATTTTTACAATATCTCATTTGATTCCTTGACTGCTGTTACCATAGGTATTGATTGTAGATCCCCATAAAATTAAATTCTTGACATGTAAACATGTTTGATTTAGAAAATAGTTTTATTTGCATCATTTTTTTTTAAATAGCTTACAACACCATGAGTCAAAGCCATAAGTTGTAAGAATGGCTTGGGCATCTCATTTTCTCAGGAGCTGACCAAAAAGGCCAACCCATTGCCATTGAAGGTTACATTCCAGTGTGCAGTGAGTCCCATGTGTTCCAGAGCAAAACTGTGCTTTGTCAAGGTTTTAGTGCCTGCCTTTTTGGATGTAGATTTCCAGGTCTTTCTTCTGAGATACCTCTGGGTGGACACAGCATTGCAATTTCTCCATTAGCACCACTGTTCAACATTTTCATCATCAGGGAACTCTTGTGCACTTCCAGTAGGTGATTAATTAATAGATGCTAAGGTCATCTCTCCACCTTAAATCTAGGGGACATGAAAAAAAATGGGGGGGGGGGATGGCCTTAGGAATACAGCACGGCAACCCAGAACGTGCGCCTAATTCTCATTTTTGACTAAAGAAATTCACCAGACTCCCGGTCTGCACCCTGAGAGAGATTACCTTTGAGTCACTTTAAGAGTCAACATTCTTAATTTTTGCTGGATTTATGACACACATAAAACCAGTTTCTTTTGCATCAATTTAGACTCATGGCAATCTCAAGTACTCCGTAGTTCAGAGTAGAACTCTACTCCATGGAATTTTATCTTTTCATAATTTATTATACTTTTTGATATTGTCATTGAGAATATACACTGAAAATCATACACCAATTAATCTCTGCATGTACAATTCAGTGACATTGATTACATTCTTTGAGTAGTACAATCACTCTCATTCTCCTGCTCTAAGTTTATAATCTTTCACTAACAAAGGACTTGAAGCACTTGCTACAGAAGATTACATATGGGCTACATCTCAACATCATGAAACCCAAAATCCTCACCATTTCACCAACAGGCAACATGATGATAGATGGGGAAAAGACTGAAGTTGTCAGCAACTTTATTTTACTTGGACCCACAATCAACACCCTTGGTAACAACAGTCAAGAAATCAAAAGGTGTTGCATTGGGAAAAATCTGGTGTAAAAGGGCCTCTCCAAAGTGCTCAAGAGCAAGGATAGCAGTTTAAAGACTAAGGTGTGCCCAATCCAAGCCATATTATTTTCAGCTGCTTCTTATACATCGGAAAATTTGACAGCAAATAAGGATGACAAAAGAATTGGTAACTGTGAGTTGTGGTGTTGGAGAAGAGTATGGAATATCCAGTGGACTGCCAAAAGAAAAACAAGTCTTGGGGAGGAAGTACAACCATGGTGTTCCTTAGAGACAACGATGGTGACATTTTGTTTCACATACTTTGGGCAAGTTGTTTGGAGGGGCCAGTCTTTGAAAGAAGATATAATGCTGGGAAAAGTAAAGGGTCAGTGAAAGCAAGAAAGATCTTTGAGAAGATGGATTGATGCAGTGACTATAACAATGGACCTGAACATGACAGATTGTAATGAAGGAGCAGCATATGGTGAGGTTCAGATCTGTTGTTGAAATTGATGTGATGGCATTTAACTAACACTAACATCCACTGTTTCCCCCCAAGATTCTTACCTAATTTTTCGAGTTGCTGTTTTCGTTTTTATCCCACATAGATCTTAAGAGAACAGAATGCTTGAGGCAAAATTTTTTCTTTTATTAGTTAATTCCCCACACCCTCTCAGCACTAGGAGATCCTAGTGGTGTAGTCTGTAGGGAGCTGAGCTGCTTGCCAAAAGTCCTCTGGCAGTTTGAATCCACCAGCTTCTCAGTGGGGAAAAGATAGGTAGTCTTCGCCCACGTGATTTACAGCCTTCAAAAACCTGCTAGACGGTCAGCTATAAATTGGTAATGACTTTTTTTTTTTAAAGTTAAGCATAAAATGAGCTCTGGTGGCATAGTGTGTTATGTGTTGCCCTAGGTCACCAGTTTGAATCTATCATCGACTTGGGAGAAAGATGAGTAGTCTTCTTGTAAAGATTTATGGCTTCAGAAACCATGAGTTAGAATTTATTTGATGGTAGTATGTTTCTTAATTTATTGTTTAACTTTAAAAAGACTTCAGGGGATAACTTTTGTTTAAAGTTAAAAAGATTGTCTCAGAGTGATAGTTTTGAGGTCCACAGTGTTTTCAATGCCTGAGTTTTTGGAAAGAGATTGCCAGTCATTTCTTTTGAGGTACCTGTTGGTGGACTCAACCCTCCAACCTGTACACCACCAGAGATTCCCAGCCTCTCTCATCAACTTCACTAATAATGGCCCTTCTCTCTGCTTGTATCATCTCTCCAGATGGCCGCCCCCTCTACATCCTGCGCCTGGGCCAGATGGACACCAAGGGCTTGATGAAGGCTGTCGGGGAGGAGGCCCTGCTGCGGCATGTGAGTGAGGGCTATTTCTGGAACCTCGTGATGCCTAGGCTGGGCCTGCAGAATTACCTGAAGGTGGGGTCACCTTACCAACACCTCCCAACACTGTCTTCCTACTTTCCAGGTGCTTTCGGTCAATGAAGAAGGCCAGAAGAGATGTGAAAGCAACACCAAACAGTTTGGCTGTTCCATCAGGCAAGATTCTGGGTTGGGCTCAAGTTCAAGTTCCTTCCACTAAACCTGGTTTCCTCACTCACTTATTATTATTTTTTTTAAAAAAACCTTTTTATTGTTGCTTGAGTAAAAATTTACAGAGAAAATGATTTTTCTAGTCAACAAGTCATATGCATTTTATTTGGTGATGTTCTGGCAATCCCCATATCATGACAGTACCCTTTTCCACTTCCTATGATTCCTCTTTCCACTAGTTCTTCTTTCCTATTCCTACCCACCTTCTGAGCTTTGTCCTTGAGAAAATACTGCCCTTTTGATCTCAGTTAGTTGGTAACTCTAAGAGGTGAGTATGTCCCTGCTGTTGCTGCTCACCTGAAAAGTCTGAGCACAGGGCTGAGTTTGAAATTTGGCCAGTCTGGTGAGCTGAGGGTCTGTGTATTTGGGGTTGGTTGTTTCTTTTCATGATTTTGTTCCATCATTTTCTTCTGCTCTGTTCAGGATCGGCCTTCTCCTGTGATCCCTTTCAGAGCTATCAGCAGTGCTAGCTGAGCACCACCTAGGTCTCCCAGTCTCAGACTCATGTAGGCTGATGTTGAAGAGGTCCTGTAATCCTTTGTACTAATTCTTTCCACTTGTCTTTGACATTCTTCATTCTTCTGTACCTCAGATGGTGACCTGGCTTAAATACAATTAGGCAAGAACTACTCTTGTCGCTGTTTTCTCTTTCATATTTTATTGTGCTTTAGGTGAAAGTTCACTAACAAATTAGCATTCCAATTAATAATTCACATACAGACAATTCTGTGACATTGATTGCAGTCCCATAAAGCTTTCCCTCCCATTCCTTCCTGAATTCCCAGAGTCCATTAGTCTAGCTTTCCTGTCCCCCTCCCTGTCTTCTCATCTTTGCTCTTCTGCAAATGGTGCCCCTTTGGTCTTGTCTAGTTGATTGTTCTAAGTAACACATTCTTCCTGGTGTTTATTTTATACACCTCTCTTTTAATTGAGTGAAAAGCACCCCCTGGGAATGTATTCAGTTTCAAGTTAGAGGCTTGTCTCAGGATGACAGATTGGGATGTTCTTTTAGTGTCTTTCAGACTAATAAGTGTCGCACTTTCTATGACCAGCAGGAAAGTGCTTCAATCAAAATGAATCAAGACTTTCCTTAGTCAAGAGGAAAAGGGAGAGGAACTCACAATTGAGTTGTCCTCCTAACCTGTACATCCTCATAACTTTTATTGACATGTTTTTAATTATATAAACAGTAAACTATGTTAATTGATTTCAAGATGCTTTTTTTCTTTTTAAATAAAATTTTAATTTTATACTGGTTGACTTTCACAGTTCATATGCGTTGTTTTCACCAAGATGGGTTATATTGTTTCTTTCCTTATTTTCTGATGTTCCCTGTTTCCATAACTACATTCATATCAGAAGGCAGCTTCAGTGTGAGAATCAAAGCTATGAATATCCCTTTGTTCTTTTGTCCAGGCAGCTCCTGCCTTGGTCAGCTTAACTAACCTCTCCATCTCTACCTTTTTGTTTTTCTTCTATAGATGTTTTAGGGTATAAAATGTGTTGTTTGTCTTATACAGTAGGTTTCAGTACAGGTAACATGTATAATTGATAAAGCAAACTAAGCAGCAGAAAATAAATAATTTAGATTTTGCTGGTGAGTCAGTTTTGTGGAAGGCTTCTTGTTCTGGGACATGTAACCTCCTCTGGGATGGGAGCTCTAACTGCTGTTAGGGGAGTGGGGACTACAAATGCTCTAGCTACTTCCTGCTGGAAGAGGTTGTAGTTTGTGAGCAGAAGTTAGACTCGTTTGGGTGGAAGCTAATTTGAGGTTCAACAGAAGATCTGGGAGCTAATGTGAGATTCCATGCCCAGACTATTTGTAATGTATTTTGAAAGAGAAACCTGGAAAGCAGGTTAGAAAGACAAGATCTTAGCAGTAATAGTAGGGACATGTCTTGTTTTGTTAAAGTATTTTGAAGTAAGAAAAGCATCAAGCGTAAACTTGATTTGCCTGGAATATTTTTTATTTTAAAGACTATGCAGAATGATAATGTGCATAAAGAATGAATTTTCTTACTGTTGATTTCCTTTTCTTCTATACTTTTATTCACTTGCTTTGAACTTCATTCACTTACTCTTACTAGACTTTCTACTTTAAGACCAAACTACTTTCTTTTTCCCTCAAAAAATACCACTTTTATTATCCTCCTTGTGGTGAGTGGGAGAACTGGGATTTGAACCCAGTATCTGATTCTGGAGTTCTTCTGTGTCTTTCTGTGGCACTAGGGACATCATAGTCAATGTCAAAGGAATCTTGACTGAAAAGAGAGTACCAGAAGAATGTCTATGTTTTTCTGACGGGGCAAAGACATTTTACTGTGTGGATCACAAAAAATTGTTGCTAATCTTGAGAAGAATGGCAATCCCAGAACACCTGATTGTGCTTCTGCGAAATCTATACTTGGACCAGGAGTCAGTCGTCAAAACAGAGCAAGGAAATGCTGAAATAAAAGAAAACAAAATCAAGAAAAGAGTGCCTCAAAGATACATCCTTTCTCTATTTTTTTAATAATAAAATTTTTCTTTTATACTGATTTACTACAAAGTCCATATACTTAGTTTTTCACACCAGATATTTCCCATTTCTTTTACCCACCCCTCCCTCTCCCATCCTCACCCCTCTTGCTCCCACCCTCTCCTACCTTGGATCCTCATACACATTTTACTAGTTATTTTTCTATTTCTACAATAATGGTTTTATACAGTATTTGTCCTTATGGGTTAGTTCTTCCAGCATAATGCTCTCCAGTCCCTTCCATGTTAGGTAGTGATTTTCAAAATCAGTGCTCCTGCTTGAGGCGTAGTATTCCATTGTGAGTATGTACCATGATTTCTCAATCCATTTGATTGTGTTTGGACATTTGGGCTGTTTCCATGTTCTTTTTTTTCTATAATTATATTTTATTAATTTTCATAAACATTTACAGAGATTTTGGGCTTCCACTCATTCATTGTTGCACTATTCTCTCTACCC